TTCCCCCCCCTCTACTCCTCCCAGCGTGCCCCTCTCCACCAAACTTCCCTTCTCCCCTAGATACACTCCCTGTTTGTCTCTCTTCAGAAAAGAGCAGGGGTTTCCAAGGGATAATATTCAAACAAGACAAAACAAGATAAAGTAAGACAAGGCAAAGCCACTCATAACAAAGATGGACAAGGCAACTCAGTAGGAGGAAAAGAGTCAAAGAGACAGCCTCTCCCACTGTCAGGAATCCCACAAAACATCAAGCTAACAGAGCAACATACACACAGACGTCCTGATGCCTACTGCCTTTATTGCTCTGGCTTCTGCTTTAAGGCACCATCATGCCTGTCAGAAACTTTTCTTTCAGTGTTGAGTAGCATAGGCTACAACCAGCCCAGCTGCTCTGTCTCAGTGACTCCAGAGGCTTACCTTGTAGAAGATTGACTCTGCAGTGACTATGGTAGAAACAGATTCAGGAGCTTTGATAGGCTACAAGAAAACAGATGGAGAAACATTTGTGTACCTATATAGTATGTATGGGCATTTTCTCATCTACATGAGAATTATCTCATTTGAAAAAAAAACCAAAATACTGTTATTTGGTGACAGAAACTACTAACACACACACACACACACACACACACACACACACGCATGCACACATATACAGAATGTGAAACAGGTAACTAGTTCCACTATTTTTTCTACCAGTATTTTCAAAGTGCTGAAAACAAAAGGTGGCGTTTCTGATTATGCTGCTGGGCACTAATACACACACAGCTCTCTAGCGCTCCAATAGACATTAACATCTTAAGTACAGAAATACAGTGGCTCTAAAAGTCTGAGCCTGACAGGATGGAAATTTTTTAAAATGTACATATAAATATAAAATGAAAAATCTAATTTTGTTGCAAGCCTGAACTCTTTAGGGTTCTTAGTTATTTGCCACAGTGCACCACCATTAAAATCCCTTTTTAGAACTGCAACGCAAACTTTATCACAACATCAAAATGGCCTTTCCTGTGACTCTGTGCCATTTTCCAAGAATGGCTATGCAGAGAAATTGATAATGGAGTAACTGAATAGAACGCAGTCTTCAGAGTGTGACAACCTGAGCTGGACCCTGGGAACTAAGGCAGGAGGGAGCCAGCTCCTAAAATCTGCCCTCTGACCTCCACATATGTACCTCAGCATATGTACCTGCACGCATATGTATACCATAAAAAATACATTTAAAAAGAAATGAAGCAACTGGGCCTGGGAGAAGGCTCAGTGGTGAAGAGCACTGGCTGTTGCAGAGGAGCCAGGTCGGTCCGCAGCACCCACATGGCAGCTTATAACTGTGATCCCAGGACCAAGGGATCCAACGCCTTCTGCATATGGCAGCTTATAACTGTGTGATTCCAGTACCAAGGGATCCAACGCCTCTGCTAGACTCTGAGGTACCTGGTATACACATGCAGGCAAAACACTCATACACATAAAATAAAAATAAATATTTAAACAAGAGTCTACAATCTTTATGTCTCTTCTCCTGGACCCATTTTACAAACGAATATGCCTACTTTTAGAAAGGCATTTACTGGCAAGTGAGGCATTCTTGTTCCAAAAGTAATAACCAAGCTGAGATAAACAAAACAAAACACCTACAATATCATTCACTGCCCCAAACAAACAAAAAACCTTACCACAACAGACTCTAGCATGAGATTTTAAACAATCTTCATACGTCAGGTTTAGAAAAATTTTGGATTTATAATCACCAAATTCATCATGAACCAATAGATACATTTTTTTCTGGTGCTATCATAACAAATAAGGTATTGATGAATTAAGTTATTTGCCCCACTTTTTAAAAGACAGAAAAATTTTTCTGAAACGCATTCAGTAGATCAGCCTAGCCACAAACTCAAGAGATCCACCCGTATCTGCCTTCTGAGTACAGGAATTAAAGGTTAGCACCATCACTACTCCTCAAAAAATGTTTCTTAATTAACTATGTATCAAGAACCATAACTTCAAAAAACTGTCAGTGGACAAATTTAACCAATTTACAAAAGAACCATAATTTCTCTTTGCATAGAGAATGTGACACACTTAGCTAACTTATACAGCATTTCTCTTAGACTCATTTTTTATATTTTTTTCAGATGAAAAATTAAAGCTGAAGGAAAAACAAACAGAAACGGCTTTCCTAACGTCCGATATTGCAAGAGTCTTAAAATAGAGCTTGTCTTTTGGGAACTCTTGCCTTCCCTCTAGAATAATGCATAAATGCTCCCAAGAGGTACACTGTGTTCAATAATGAATAGAGAAAGCAGTGGCAAGCCCCACCATACCCACAGTGCCCTATCAGGAAACACAGTCCACAATCATCTTACATTTTTTAACTTAAAAATATGTCTTCTCCCTTTTCCTTTGGTGGAAACTTTCTTTTCAGCGGTTGGAGCAGATTTGTACTTGGTATTTCTGAGCCGAGCGGACCTTCTGTGAATTTCTTGCTTACTCTGTTACACAATTTAGAGAAAAAGAAATTAAAACTGCGGAAGAAAACACAATACAACAATCTCACAAAGATCGGAGGATGCACTTTGTTAAAATACTTAGAAGACCCTGGGCTGAGTTGTCAAACCCATGAGATGGCGCTGCTTTCAAGCAGGACGACGACAGGAGTGGGTGGAGGCCAAGGCGGGAATTATTTATTCGTTTGTTGAGCTTATTGCACAGGTAAAATATCTATTTACCCCCCCACACACCAAAAAAAAGTTCCCTGCATACCTCATAACAGAATTCTAATGCTATCGTTTTAAACGACCTAATAATTTATTAACGTAACCACAAGGACATAATAGGCAAGAGGTCCTCGGCCGACAACCAAATGCCCCCGTTCGGCTGACCCGGCGGGCTCACCTGCTTGCCGCCCCCGGCCCCGTTGCTCTGCGAAGGGCCGGCCGAGGTGGTGGCGAAGGTGACGGTGCTGAAGCCGCCGCCTCCCCCGGTCACGCCCGCCACTCCCGCGCCGCCGCCCGCGCCGCCCCGGCCCGTGCAATGATGGCAGAGGATCTCGCCCTGTGGACTCTTCTTCCACATGGAGGACGATGTGGTCTTGCACATGCTGCAGGTGGGCTTCAGGCCCAGCGGCATGGTGGCCGGCTCGGGCGGCCCCCGCGGGCGCAACGACACGGGAATGGCGGCCGTCTGCACTGGCCGCCCAGGGGTCGGCCCGCCACCTCGGCGACTGGAAGAGCAAGGTCTGAGGTGCTGAGCGGCCCGCGCCGCTACCCAGCGGCCACCGCTGACCCCTGGAGGCGGGAAGCGGGCTCCGGCAGCCCGGGACCCAGCCCTGGAGCTGGGCCGCCCGCGGGGCACGCAGGCCCGACACTCGGCCCGGCCTCCCGGGAAAGCCAGCTCGGGCCGAGGGGACGCCACCCGGGGCGGACCGGGCCGCCTGGGTCCCGCCGAGGGCGACCACAGCCCGACCTCCGCCCACCGGGGCTTCCGGCGATGGGCGGGGCTCCCGGGCGGGGCGGGGCCGGGTAAGCCAGTGTAGCTGACCTGGGCCTTGGGGCTCCGGAAGCCCCACCTACTGGCCGGAAGTGGCCCTGCCAGAATTACCGCTGCTTGTGGCTCTGTTGAGTTTGTAACTGGCAGGGGAAAATACAAAATTTCCCGTTAAAAGTGAATTTCAAATGAGTAGTGAGAGTAGTAGCCCATGTGATAGTTCTACCTTTTTTTTTTTTTTTTTTTTTACAGTCTTTTCCTGAACTTGGAGTTTACCAATTAACCTAGATTGGCTTAACCATCAAGCCCCAGGAGCCCTCCTGTTCAAGTTCCCGGTTCCTAATCTCCATGTGTGTGTGGCCTTTTACATGGATGCTGGGAATTCAGGTTCAGGCTCCCCAAGCACTTTGCTGACTGAACCATCTCCCTAGCCACCTTTTAACTTCTTTGAAGCAGGATTGTACTCCATCCCATGCTGTTCAGGCACACACTATGTAGTCCAGGCTTCGAGCCAGCAGCGATTCCATTCTCGGCCTCCTGAGTGTGGAGATTGCAGGTGAAAGCCACCTCATCTAACACCACTGTGTAATTTAAAACGTGAAGTTATTTCTTGTGTTTTCTCAGAAACTAGTGATAAGACTGCAGCTCTCCTCATGGTTTGGAGACACGGGGTTTATGCTGAGCATCCAGCGTGGAGTTTTAGAAAGTCCCTGGAGAAAATGTGAACAATGGTCCTCACAGTGGAAAAAAGAACAATGCTCTGTAGAGGACCCGGATACTCTGAGGCCTGCCAGGAGATTGCCGGGGTCTCAGCGGGAGGCCGGATTGTTATTTCTATGGTTAATATCCTGTTACTCACACCTGACTTCCCAGATAGCATGTCTTTTTCTTTTTTTTTTTCCTTTTAATTTACTCTTCTCTCATAAAATACAACCGAACCTCAGCCTCCCTCCTTCACTCCTTCCAGTTTCCCGGCCCCAACCTCTCCTGCAGATCCAATGCTCTTCAGTCTCCGTTCAGAAAAGAGCAGACCTCCCAGGGATATCAACTGAACATGGCATAACAAGTTACAATAGGACTAGGCACAAGCCCTCCAGACAAGGCTGAGGACTGTGGAAGTGTCCTGGATTTTGGGTTACTGCCTACACATCCTACACACCCAGGAAACCATCATGAGTAAACACAGCACTTTTGGGCTCTGAAGCTCTGCTGATAGCAAAGCAGGCCAAATATCAACCGTCACTTAATAATAAAACAAGAATAATTTCTCACTTAAAGGTTATCATGAGCACAAAATAGGACTGTGACATTGTAGGCATGGGACTTGGGTTTCCTTTGTCTCTGCATGACTACCAAGAGCATTCCGAGTATGTCAAACCCAAGGGACCCAGATGGTGAGAAGGGCAAGCGTGACACTCTACAAGAGTTTGAAGGGACGCGCCTGGGCAGTGAGTCCTTTGCTGTGGAGACTCCCAAAGCCCGCCTGGCTTCTCACAGAGGCTTTGGCAAGGCCTCCTGACTGCTCCTGAGTGTCACCCACCTTCGTCTCAAGATCCTTTAGGGACGTCCTTAGGGTCAGATCCATTACTCAACAGTGCTGTCAGGAATCAGGCCTACTCACTCTTGTTCTCTGGTACACTGGGATTCTGTTCAGAGGCTATAAGCATGGCTAGCCAACGGCCGATCAATACATACTTATGTCTTGGGCTTTAAAATGTCTCAGTTCTGTGTATCTGTGCGTGGGGACAGGGGAGAGGTTAACACTGGGAGGTCTTTCTTGTTCCCTTTGCAATTTTTAAAGACAGGCCTCTCACCCAACCAGGAGCTACTACATTCCATTAGGTCGTGAGTTTGGCTGGCCAACAAGTACTATGTGATCGTCCTATCTGCTTCCGTTATATGGGGCAATAGAAGCATATGCCTCTGCATTGAGCCTGGATGGGCTTGAGATCCTAGTGCCCACACATAAGCACCAGGGAGACCAGGAATGCTAAACACACAGGGTTGTCTCCTCACTGGAGAAGATAGACACTTCATTTCTGCCTAGAAAGCTGGAAATGAATGTAGTTAATAACCTGCTGATCTTTGCTATCTGTAGGGCTGCCTGCTATTGCATCTGTGTCTGTCCTATGGTCCTGCTCCTGGGGCAGAGCTTCAGAGCCCAAAAGTGCTCTGTTTAGTCACGATGGCTTCCTGTGTGTGTAGGTTTCCCTGGCAGTAAAACCAAAATCCTGTACAAGTGGTTGGAAACAATGGCTGAGGTATGGTCTCATTTTAGACCGATGCTGAAGGGACCCTGAGCAGTCGAGCCCCAGACACGCTACTTCAGAGCGTGACCCTTGATCTGAAAGCCACGGAGCAGCAAGAGAAGCAGGGACGCTCCAGCTGACCCCTGACCTTTTCCTTGCTGCCCTGAGCAGTAAGTGAAGCTTGCCTTGTGAAGGATGCCAGTCCGTCCCTGTGCCAGAGGAGATGGGTGCCTGAACACTTATCACCAGATGCAGTCAAAACCTAAGTAAGATTTGGAAGCCATATCTTCCACTAGTGCCCTGTGCATCTCCTGTTCCCATCCGGATGGTTTGCTAGTCTCATCTCTTTGTTGCAATCCCGAGGTTTATCATGTTTTGTTTTTACATGCCTACAAACTTTGGTGCCTTACAGCTCTATCTTTTCAGTCCCACTCCCCTGGACTCCCAGAGACCCATCTCCTCCCCTCCTCCAGCTTCCCCAGGACACGTCCTCCTCACAACAATCTCCCTCCCCCTCTCCCCTCTCATCATTAATCACCTGTAGGGGTTGGACCCATGAGATTCCCCCCCTTGCCCTATTAGCATAGCTACTGATATTATCATTGTTTAGGTCTAGTTTATGCAGACGTTTCCAGGAAGCATAGTCACACATTAAACTTCCTGTCCCTCTGGCTCTTACAATTTTTCTGCCTCCTCTTCCACGATGTTTCCCGAGCCTTTGTGCAGTTTTGTGTTGTAGATGCATCCAGTGGGGGTGGACCTCCCTACAGTCGTTGATTTCTGCAATATGTCTAGCTGTGGTTTTCTGTAATCGTCTCCATTTTCTGGAAAGGGGAGCTTTCTTGGATGTAGAGGAGATAGCTACACTTACTTGTGTGTATAAGGATGTTTTAGAATGTAGTTAGGGGTCTTGCTGGACTAGTAAAGAGGCAGTAGTAGGATCTCTTTTAACACGCATGACCTCACTGCCCCTGGGTAGCTGACTACATTTCTAATACCAAGCCTAATTACCCTCCTGTGGAGTGTCTTAAGTCCAATCAGACCACTCAAATGTGAGCGGCACTCCTGCACCTTTAGGGATACCTTGGCATGCTGGTCGTTGTTGTGTTTCATAGGCATCACAACTGCATAGGATTACTGATCGCATCCTGCCCTTGCAGAATACTTCCTACCATACAAGCAATTAAGTTTAAGCATAAGAATTAGGGAAATATATTCAAACCATAGTCACAGATACTCAGTCTGGAGCCAAGGGAAGGGTTGAACTGGATCACACGGACAAATTAGTACATATGAGATGGATGAGAAAATTCTGATGGTGCTGTGTGTACATAAACTGTTAAAGTAGAACTAAATGCCTCTGAAGGCCTTAAAGTTTCACACTGAAAGGAAATTCCCTTGGTTGTTCTTAGCATCAGTATGTGCTATAGTTTGCAGAACTTACAGTTAGCATGGTTTACGTATTCCATAGTTCATTAAACTCTTATGATTAAAAAGGAGGAAAAACAGATGTATAAAACATGTCACAGGCTGGTTTCAAAAGAGATGATGGCATTGTTTCCTGATTATTAGAGGCCACCAGAGGATTCACAGACCATGTGTACCTTTGCTCTACCTGTTAAACGGGTGGGATTCTGCAATGAGATTTCTACTTGGTTTACTTATCCATCAAGTGAACGGTGACAGAGGCTTTATAAATCAGAGTTGATGTTCTAAATGAGTTGGTGCATATAAGAATGCAAACAGCTGCTGCATCTGAAAACTACCTGCATAGTGTAGAATACGAGGCTGACGAGAAGACAGAGGATTTCTTTTGACCAAACTGTAGTTAATTCATTAGTTATGATCCTGACTTGTTAACAAAGAAATCAAATTAACAACATTTTGGAGAGGAAAGCATATCATTAACTCAGGTTGACTGTTTACACCAACAAAACAGAGACACTGAGGATTGGGCAGAGAGTGCGTGGGGCCTGGGAGGCTCTTCGGGTCAAAGGAAGATAGCACAGGCAGATGTCTGACTGAATCTTTTCCTGATTCTTTTCTTTTTGGACTAGGGTTTGGGGGGAGTGTCTAGCATATGTCTTCCGCTGCATGTGGGCCTTCTGGATGCTCTATGCTGTACCTTGAGCACAATGGAACCACTTTTTGTGAAGGATACTCTTGCTTCCTGATCTTGTCTTTGCTTGGGGCACTGGTCTCTTTGCCTGTGCTTCCTCTCAACCTTTATATTTAACACAACTATTATTCTAAGAACCAGCCAAGAGCTCATCTCCGACTCCATGATTCTAAATAGCAATTCTTTTCTAAAGCCTTCCCTTCTTTCTCCTTTACAAGTACAGAGTGCACTAGCCTCTTCCAACTACACAGGGAGCCACATATCTCTTTTGCTTCCTCACTCTCTGCACTCAGTAAACAGGCACTGAATTTAATGACTGGGTTAGTGAGACACTCCAGAGGACAAGTTTCCTCTTCCTTTCTACAGACCCCAGAGAAGAAGGACTCGTGATACCTGCTCACCACATGGTTATGGGTCTTTCCTTACCAAACAGCCTG